AAGGCACATAAAAACATGTTTAGAGGACATAAACTATAAACTTCTGGGCAAAAAATACCAAATGTCCAATAGTTGACATGTGTGATGATAGCCAGACTTGAGAGTAATATATATTTTGAATTTCAAACATGATTTCTAACCTGCATCTATAATTTTTATTAATAAAATGATAATTATTTAAAATTTAAAAATTTGTTTTTTACTTCTTATATTATCACATGAATTAATAATGTCTTCATTTTCTTTCTTCTCTAAGGCCTGGTTTCTTGGGACAGAGAAACTAAATTTTATTCTCCTCTCATTCCCCAGACCCTATTAATTACTCTAACAATGCATTCATTCAGGGTACAAATTTTTCTTCAGCATATTTCACGATGTATTTGCAGTATAGGGAAAGGATGCAGTTATTGAAGAGAATATGTACTAGCTGAGGAGAGTGAAAATTGAAAAAAATCAAACAACAGAAATCATAACCAAGTAGAAAGCAAGGCCATCTAGACATTTTCAAAAGCTGATGTCTGAAACACAAATAAAGGTTACTTATTCTATTTTCCATTGAGGAGTCAGAGAAGATTTGGAGAGAAATAAATTTTGAAGGATAAGTAGAAGTCACTCAGGATAGTGATGGCGGGAGGTGGGAGCCGTGCAATGGAGAAAAAGAGGAGCATAGGCTAGAAAAAGTACAGTGCATCATGAAGACTCTACATAGTAAGAAGACTGAGGCAGTGTGAGTGGTGGATGGAAACATCCTGAGAGACAAGCAGAGAGTCATATGCATGGAACAGAGCAGAATCCTTACCATTTGTTATCCTAATAGAATCCCTTTGGCATCCTTTGCTTTTTGTTAAGCAAGATATCACCCAGGCAAATGTATCATGAATTACAGGCAGTCGCCATGTTACAAACGAGAGTTTCTGTACATTTGTTCTTAAGTTGAATCTGTATGTAATTTGGAACAGGCACATTTACCTATTACCTGTAACATCCATTCATCAGTGTGAGCTGTGCGTAAGTCAGATGTTTATAACCTGGGGACAGCCTGTATAAGAGGACAAGAATGAAGGCAGGGAGGGAAACAGAAAAAGAGAAAAAGTAACTAGGGCCTTGGTGAAACTATGGAAACTGGGAATTGTAAAAAGGAGACAAAGAGATAAAATTGGGAGCTAAGTTGTAGGTAAAACCAACAGTATTTTGTTGGATGTGGCACAATAAGGGGAAGAAGGCTATGGAAGCTCAGAAGTCACAGACTTGAGAGACTGGGTGGATCGTGGTGTCATTCCCCAGATGCAAAATACAAGAGGAAACATCTGAAACATTCATTATTTTTCAGAGTTCAAAGTTATTCTGCAGAAAGTACTTATATTTTAATGAAAATTAGCATTTAAATGAAGTAACATCAAAATTACCTTTTATTATTCTGTAGTATTCGGCTTTTTAAAAATATCGAATGCTTGCAAAATTTCTGATGATTACATGACTTTGTACTTGCATCTGAAACTTCTATATATTACAGGTTTCTCATTTTCTATTATTTTATATTCAGAATATCATCAGGGTACAAATGTTTTTTGTTTTTGTTTTTGTTTTTTTTAAAATATGAAACGCTTCACAAATTTGCATGTCATCCTTGTTCAGGGCTCATGCTAATCTTCTCTGTATCATTCCAATTTTAGTTTATGTGTTGCTAAAGCAAGCACCAGAGTACAAATGTTTTTAGCTACATGAATTGCCTTTGGACACTTTGAGTACCAGTTATAAATGTGTTCATCTCCCAGATACTGTGTATTGTACCCATTAGTTATGAATTTCCCCATTCACTCCGCATCACCTGCTTGATTTGAATTGAGATTTACTTCCATGTGGACATGAATGTTGATTGATTAGTTCCAATTTAATAGTGAGAACATGAAAAAAAAATACAAGAGAAGAAGTTAAAGTAAAGAGTGAAATTGGTGTGTGGAAGGCTGAAGTTGAGGTATTTGTAGGATTTCCAGCTGGAGCCTCCCATAGATCATTGGAACTATGGATCTGTACCTTAGCTAGGAGTCCAGGTGTGAGAAGCATTTTTCTGTAAATATTAAATGAAGAAAAGAATATAACTGAGGTTCCAGGTAGTGAAGTAGAAACATTCTCTGCTTATGTAGAGAAAAAAGCAGAAAATGAAAAACAGTCCTGTAGAGCCTCACTATTCACAGCTTAGACTGGGAATAAAGTGACCGTGAATGAAGCTGAGGAATAATCAAAGAAATCCAGGTATTTGTGAAATGAAAGCAGATAATAAATGAATATACACATTTCTTTCAACAGAAATGATTCACAGAGGACATGGAAGTTGGAAACCACACCACTGTAAAAGAGTTCATCATTTTGGGGTTATCTAAGGATCCTATACTTTGTGTCATCTTCTTTGTTATATTTCTAGGAATCTACATTGTCACCTTGATAGGCAACATCAGCATAATCACTTTAATAAGAAGCTATTCCCAGCTTCACACGCCCATGTACCTGTTCCTCAGCCATTTGGCTTTTGTGGACATCTGGTTCTCCACTTCAATCACACCTATAATGCTTATAGGATTACTTAGACAGGGAGTGGCCCTCTCCGTCACTGGCTGTGAAGCTCAACTCTGTATTGGGGTCATGTTTGGCACAACCGAGTGCTTCCTGCTGGCCACCATGGCATATGATCGCTATGTGGCCATCTGCTCACCCCTTCTATACCTCACTCAAATGTCCTCCAGAATCTGCACCCTCTTACTGGTGGCTTCCTACCTCGGAGGATGTGTGAATGCTTGGACATTTGCTAGTTGTTTATTAACTTTATCTTTCTGGGGAGCAAATCAGATAGATCATTTCTTCTGTGATTTCACACCTTTGTTAAAACTTTCCTGCTCAGATATCTCCGTCATTGAAATTATCCCTTCCATTTCCTCGGGCTCCATCATCGTGGTCACTGTGTTTGTCATAGCCGTCTCCTACATCTACATCCTCACCACCATCCTGAAGATGCGCTCCAGGGAAGGGCGCCACAAGGCCTTCTCCACCTGCACCTCCCACCTCACTGCAGTCACTCTCTACTATGGAACTATCACCTTCATTTACGTGATGCCCAAGTCCAGCTACTCAACCGACCAGAACAAGGTGGTGTCTGTGTTCTACACGGTGGTGATCCCCATGTTGAACCCCCTCATCTACAGTCTCAGGAACAGAGACGTAAAGGAGGCTTTAAGAAAGGCAATTGTCAGAATATATTCTTAGTATCCATTCTCAGCACATAAGATGACCTGTCAAGTTTTGATTTATTGCTATCACACTTAGGACCTACCAAATACTGGTGAGCTAATTGCTTAAAATAAAGTCACATTTTGGTTCTACTTTTCTCTTTTAAACATTTGTAAACCAGTTGCAAGACACCTGACATCACCAAGAAAATTAGTAGTGTTCATTCAACTATTCAAGGAATTCCTGTAGTTATCAAGCATCTTTCCTTGGTTTACTTATTTTGTAAACAATAATTTCCCCTTACTCTGTGCCAGGTCCTGTTGTAACATTGTTGCATAAATAAACTCATTCATTCCTTACAACACCATATGAGGTGTTACCATGATTTCTATTTCACAAATAAATCATCCTGACATGGAGACACAATGTGGAATGCCCACAGTCATATAGTTAAGAAGAGGTGTGATTGTATTTGAACGCAAAATTCCAGTTCTAGAACCATTGTTTTTCCCCACTTAATTTTCACAGCAATATTATGTTTTGGGTATTATAAATTTCCCTTAACTTATAATTGAAAAATATGAGTCTTAGAGAGATATGGTAGTTTGTCCAGACTGATGTGAAATCAAGTCCTCTGTTTCTAAGGTCCATGAACTTAACCTAAATCAAACCAATTAGTCAAATAACATCAGTGCTTCTACTAAGCTAGGGAGTTTGGGGCAGGGGGGAATACCAAGCCCAACCTGCAACTTTAAAATACTGGCACAAAGTTGCAGTTTGGGCTTGATAATTCCAAGCCCAAGGTGGTACAGTCTGTACCCAAGTGGTACCAAGGTGGTACAGTCTGTTTAAAATACTATAAGGTAAGGACTTAAAATCTGGATTGATTTCCTTCTTTTAAGAAATCAGTTCTTAACACCACGATCACATGATTTAGCTGGAAGTTCATCCATAGTTTAACACATGTTAAAGAAAATAGGCCCATGTGGCCTGTTGTAATCTTTATTTGTGGCAATTACAAATGATGTCCTTTAATTCTAAGTTTTGCAATTAATGTGTTAACAATGATCTTCATTCCTTAGGTATGAATATATAAAGAAATGAGATCCTGTTAAAAGAAACAAAACTAGAAATGTTATCACAAGCCTTATTAACTAAATGTCTTTCCTGAGGGATGACCTTTCATTTACATCATCACTATGAGACTAGAAAGGGTGAGAATAGATTTGCTGGAATTCAGGAGTTCCCAGTTCAAAGTAAATACCAATACATCTGTTTATGGCATTTGGACACAAGACTTAGGAGTCCAATCACCTCAGTGTATTGGGGAAAGAAAAAGGAGGGTTGAGATACATAAGAAAAATAATTTTAGACAGGTATTGTGGCAGGCGCCTGTAGTCCCAGCTACTTGGGAGGCTAAGGCAAGAGAATCGCCTAAGCCCAAGAGCTGGAGGTTGCTGAGAGCTGTGACACCAAAGCACTCAACCACGGGTGACAAAGTGAAACTCTGTCTCTAAAAAAATTAATAATAATAATGATAATTTTAACAAAATTAGAAATCTTGAAAATATACTATTAAGTGAAAATGTAGAGTTTCTATGACACTTCAAATTTTAAGTGGAAAATAGGATTTTACACACTTTATGTTTTTAGTTTCTCTTATTTTAATACTTTATAAGAAGAAAACATTGAAGTAAAGAAAACTAAATTATATATACAAAGGACTTGACAAATACTAGGACACTCAGAACCATGTAGATGTCCTCCTGAAAACAAGCAGAACACAATTGTTTGAATTTCCCCTTTGAGCAATTGGAAAGTATATTCCCCTTTCCATTTATGGACAGCAGAACTGTAGCCCCATTTAAATCCCTGTGAGCTTGGCACGACCCTCCTACCTTTTAGTGATGCGTCTTGCACATTAGAGGAGTATAGAATCCAAGGTATTTTTTTTCCAATGTTGTTATAAATGTTCCAGTTCATTGTAATTGTTTCCTGAGCATATTAAGTGTCATAGTTTGATCTGATACAAAAATTAGTCATTGTCTGGAAGTAGTTTGATATTTACAGTATGTGTGAGTACTATGCCCAAAGGATGAGCACTTGTCTCAATCAGGTTTGTAAAATAACACTTCCTAGGGAATAAAGCTCTTTTCCTTGGCTCACAAATAATATCCCACTTATGTTCACTTAATAATCTAAGCCCAAAGTGTCTAAGTTATCCTCAGCTCCATCTCTTATTCTTAAAATCCCACACTAATTAATTGGCAAGTTTATTTTGGTCCTTTATCTCAGCTACATTTGAGTTGCTCAATTTCTCAACTATGCTGCAGACTTAGCCCAATGGACCATGATCTCAGATCTTGACTATTAACTCTTCTCATTGATGCCTTGATCTCACTATTTCCTTTTATATTTTATAATTAATTTTCCATACAACAACAGAAGTGTTCCATTCATATGAAATGTCCTTACAGTGACAGAAAGTACATTAATCATTGTTTATGGCTACGGGGAATGGAAACGTGGGGGGATATTAAAGGATATAATATTTTCTTTGGTGATTATTAAAATCTTCTAAAATTGACTGTGGTGAAGCTTGCAAACATCTGTGAATATACTAATAAAATTAACTTAAACATTTTACTATGTGAATTGTATGATATGTGAGTTGTACCTCATTAAGGTTCCTAAAAAAAAAACATTGTGGTCTTCCTATGTGGCAAATTATAATCTTTTGAGATAGACAAAATCCACACCCATATATATTTTACAGATAACTCTTTCTCTGGAGGCCTGTAAGACTTCTGTGAGAAAGCTGCCTCACAATTTTATATGCCTTCTTTCTTTCTTTCTTTCTTTTTTTAAGAGGGGATCTTTAAATCATGTCATTCAGATTCTTGGAAGTATTTAGACTAGCTGAAAGGGACAATGAGGCCTTAGATTATTCTGCAGTCTTAACAGAGGATCTAATAGTCCCAACTAGGATTTGATGTTTGACCTGAAATCATTTCCTACTTTTAGAATCTTTTTGTGGAAGGTACCGGGGATAAAAAATAGCCTTATTTTCAAAATCAGCAAGATCTGGCTCCTTTATATTTTTCTAAATTTTTCTTAAAAATATAGTTTTAGTTCACAGCTTTCTGGCTATATTTTATCATAGGCAGCTGCAGGAAGCTGGGTAGCACTTTAAACATTCTTCCTGACAATCTTCCTAGCCAATTCCAAAGCACATTTAGATACCCTTTCTATTGTCCATCTTATCACAGATGACAATATTGTCAAACTCAGAAAATGTCTTCTTTTTGTCCTTGCTTAAAAATATTTTCCTTACTGTTTTTCAAACCGTTACCATCAATTATTATTGAATACAGAGATTTGTTAACTCAGAAGAAAATTAGGGTTGGGCATATAAATTTGGGATTGAGCAATACTTGAGTAGTGCTGTGGTTTTAATGTGTCCTTTCCAACATTCAGGTTTGGATACCTCTCACCTCTCAAAGACCCCACCTCTCAATACTGTCACAAGTTTCTCAGTGTGATAGTTTTGAGAGATGGGGTCTTTGAGAAGTGATCTGGTATTTAAAGCTCCTCTCTGATGAATGGGATTGGGTGCCTGTAGAAAGGCATGCCAGAAGGAATTCACCCCCTCTGGCTTTTCCTCCTTTGGCCATGTGAGGACACAGTCTTCTTCCCCTCCAGATGATGTAGCCCTCACCAAACACCAAATGCTGGTGCCTTAATCTTAGACTTCCAGTTTCCAGAATTGTAAAAAATAAATTTCTGTGAAATTGCCCAGTCTTCTGTACTATTCTAGTATAACAACACTTTTAAAAATAGAATAAGATAAACAATATCTAAATTCATGAAATGGCACCAGATTATAGGTGGTTGTAAATGTAAGATTATATAGAATAGACCATGAGATAGTCCAACGTTTAAAGGGCTGGTAGAGTTTCAAACTCCAGCAAAGATGAGATAAATTTTCAAGAAATGTAGACAGAAACCCAAACCAGAAATGTGAGACTGCACACGTCAACAACCAAAAGATGCAAGAAAAGAGAGGGTGAGTACATGTTTTATGCTTCTAGGATTTAGCAACATGGTGACTGCAAGTAATTTAGTAAGAGCAGTTTCAGAGTGGTGATACTGAGGCCAGATGAGAATACATGATACATGTTTATAACTGTAGGTACAAAATAATTTCAGCAAAAGGGTAGGCAGGCTGTGAGGCAGGAAAGAGAGAAGAATAGTTCAGGAAGAACCCTTTTAGGGTCATTGGGTAAGTATAGGAGAATAGAGAGTTATAATGCTGGAAAACTAATCTGGTTATATTGAGGAATTTTTTAAAAATCTACCTAAAAGTTTAGACTTGAACTTGAATGCATTAAGTTCTACCTGGTGTTTATACTGTATTGATGATCAAATCAAATATATTTACGGCATAATTTTAATTTTGTAAGAAGAAAAATATGCTTTGCCAAAAAAAGTATAGGAAAATAAACACTGAGGTATTAGCAAGAAATAAATTGTTGAAAATAGTATGTCATCCTGATTATCTGAAGGAAATCCATGACTCCTTCAATCTGAATAATTGAGGGGAATATGATAAAAGGACAATATACAAATTTGAAGGCAGAGTTTAAGAAAAGCTTCAAGGGTAATGCTGTAGAAAAGGGCTCATACATCAGCTCAACACCTGAAGGAGAAAGAATTATGAGCGATTATTAGAACCTGGAGCCATGGGATGAGAGGACCTCCTTTCAGGACCTGTGGCATATGGTGAAGGGTCACAACCCATTAACATGACCCAGATGGAAATGAGCCAGAGAAGTACCCATACCTCAGTTTCTGCCAGCATCTCCCACTGATAAATTAAACCAGAAGTCAAAAGTAAGAAACTCTTATTGATCCAGCTCACATAGGCCAGCCTCTTGAGATTACATCAAGGTAGAAAATGGGCCTGGGAAGAAAAACAAGAGATATCCAGCACTCTAAATTATTGTTATGTTATTAATTTCCATGTATTTTAAAAATTTACATAAAATGTGAATTACTTTTGTAATGCTAAAAATATTTTCAAGTTCTAAGACTAATGATTAGGCTAGAAGCAGGAAGCATGTGTCTCCACCTGTCACAGATGTTCCAGTGGGGTTATACAACCAAAATTTAAATACTATCAGAAGTGGCAGTGAAAATGAAAAGGAGGTATAGTACTGGAAAGACACTACAGAAGTGTGTTTCAGGAATTCTTGAGGGTAAAATAACTAAGGGAAAGAGGTGTCTAACAATAATTTGACACATTAGGTAACTGGAAAAAATAACCGCACTCAGTGTTCAACATAGACATTCCTGATGCTATCTCACTATCTTACAGAATATTGCAAAGTGTTCAATCAAAGTTGATTATAAGAAATATTCTGGTTTCAATTTTTTCTGAAGCATCTACTTTCTTTATATATTCAGACCTACGGACCTATAATTGTTGTTAACACATTAATTGCCATGCCTAGAATTAAAGGAAACTATTTGTAGTTGCTAAAAATAAAGATTACAATAGGCCACATGGTACTATTTTTTAACATATGTTAAAATATGGATAAACTTCCCTAAATCATGTAGAAATGGTGTTAAGAACTGATTTCTATAAAGAAGGAAATCAATCTAGATTTTCAGTCCTCACTTTGTTCCAGAGTCTGTACAATTTAGACTGCCATGGGGTAGAGTCTGTTTAAAATACTGGCATAAAGTTGCAGTTTAGGCTTGATAATTCCCCCCAAAATTCCCTAGCTTAGTAGAAGCACTGATGTCACGGTACTGATTAAAGTGGTTTGATTTAAGTTTGTGGACCCTAGAAACAGAGGACTTGATTTCACGTCAATCTGAACAAACTATGATAACTCTCTAAGACTCAGATTTCTCAATTACAAATTAAGGGAAATTTATAATACCCAAAACATAATATTGCTGTGAAAATTAAGTGGGGAAAAACAATGTTTCTGGAATTGAAATTTTGAGTTCAAATATAAACACACCTTTTCTTAATTATATGACTGTGGGCATTCGACATATGTCTCCATGTCAAGATGATTTATTTGTGACATAGAAATCATGGTAACACTTCAAAGGGGGTTGTGAGGAATGAATGAGTTTATTTATGCAACAATGTTACAACATGGCTTGGCAAAAAGTAAGGGAAAATTATTGTTTACAAAATAACTTAAACTGAGGAAAGGTGCTTGGTAACTACAGGAATTCATTGAATAGTGAAAATATTACTAATTTTCTTGGTGATGTCAGGTGTCTTGCAACTGGTTTACAAATGTTTAAAAGAGAAAGGTAGAACTAAAATATGACTTTATTTTAAGCAATTAGTTCACCAGTATTTGGTAGGTCCTAAGTGTGATAGTAATAAATCAAAACTTGACAGGTCATCTTATGTGCTGAGAATGGATACTAAGAATATATTCTGACAATTGCCTTTCTTAAAGCCTCCTTTACGTCTCTGTTCCTGAGACTGTAGATGAGGGGATTCAACATGGGAATCACCACCGTGTAGAACACAGACACCACCTTGTTCTGGTCGGTTGAGTAGCTGGACTTGGGCATCACGTAAATGAAGGTGATAGTTCCATAGTAGAGAGTGACCGCAGTGAGGTGGGAGGTGCAGGTGGAGAAGGCCTTGTGGCGCCCCTCCCTGGAGCGCATCTTCAGGATGGTGGTGAGGATGTAGATGTAGGAGACGGCTATGACAAACACAGTGACCACGATGATGGAGCCCGAGGAAATGGAAGGGATAATTTCAATAATGGAGATATCTGAGCAGGAAAGTTTTAACAAAGGCGTGAAATCACAGAAGAAATGATCTATCTGATTCGGTCCCCAGAAGGATAAACTCAATAAACAACTGGTAAATGTCCAAGCATTCACACATCCCCCGAGGTAGGAAGCTGCCACTAAGGGGATGCAGACTCTGGAGGACATTTGGGTGGAGTACAGAAGGGGTGAGCAGATGGCCACATAGCGATCATATGCCATGGTGGCCAGCAGGAAGCACTCAGTCGTGCCAAACATGACCATAGAGTAGAGTTGAGCTTCACAGCCAGTGACGGAGAGGGCCACTCCCTGTCTAAGGAATCCTGTAAGCATCGTAGGTGTGACTGATGTGGAGAGCCAGATGTCCACAAAAGCCAAATGGCTGAGGAACAGGTACATGGGCGTGTGAAGCTGGGAATAGCTTCTTATTAAAGTGATTATGCTGATGTTGCCTATCAAGGTGACAATGTAGATTCCTAGAAATATAACAAAGAAGATGACACAAAGTATAGGATCCTTAGATAACCCCAAAATGATGAACTCTGTTACAATGGTGTGGTTTCCAACTTCCATGTCCTCTGTGAATCATTTCTGTTGAGAGAAATGTGTATATTCATTTATTATCTGCTTTCATTTCACAAATACCTGGATTTCTTTGGTTATTCCTCAGCCTCATTCATGATGACTTTATTCCCAGTCTAAGTTATAAATAGTGAGGCTCTACAGGACTGTTTTTGATTTTCTGCTTTTTTCTCTACATAAGCAGAGAATATTTCTACTTCACTACCTGGAACCTCAGTTATATTCTTTTCTTCATTCAATACTTACAGAAAAATGCTTCTCACACCCGGACTCCTAGCTAAGGTACAGATCCATAGTTCCAATGTTCTATGGGAGCCTCCACTTAGAAATCCTACAAATACCTCAACTTCATCCTTCCACACACCAAATTCATTCTTTTCTTTAACAACTCATCTTGTATTTTGCATCTGGGGAATGAAACCATAATCTACCCAGTCTCTCAATTCTGTGACTTCTGAGCTTCCATAGCCTTCTTCCCCTTATTGTGCTATATCCAACAAAATACTATTGGTTTTACCTACAACTTAGCTCCCAATTTTATTTCTTTACCTCCTTTTTATGATTCCAGTTTCCATAGTTTCATCAAGGCCCTAGTTACTTTTTCTCTTTTTCTGTTTCCCTCCCTGCCTTCGTTCTTGTCCTCTTATACAGGCAGTCCCCAGGTTACAAACATCTGACTTACATGCAGCTCACATTGATGAACGGATATTACAGATAATAGGTAAATGTGCTTTTTCCAAATTACATACAAATTCAACTTAAGAATAAACCTACAGAACCTCTATTGTTTGTAACCTGGCAACTGCCTGTAATTCACGATACATTAACCTGGGTGATAGCTTGCTTAACAAAAAGCAGAGGGTGCCAAAGGATTCTATTAAGATGACAAATGGTAAGAATTCAGCTCTGTTCCATGCATATGACTCTCTGCTTGACTCTCAGAATGTTTCCATCCACCACTCACGCTGCCTCAGTCTTCTTGAACTATGTAGAGTCTTCATGATGCACTGTACTTTTTCTAGTCTTTGCTCCTCTTTTTCTCCATTGGATGGCTCCCACCTCCCACCATCACTATCTTGAGTGACTTTTACTTATCCTTCAAGAATTTATTTCTCTCCAAAGCCCTCTTTGGAGGTAACCTTAATTTCTTTTATAAACATCAACTTTTGCAAATATTCAGATTGCTATGGTTTAAACTAAGTTGTCATTTTTATTATTTGAATTTTTTACTTTTCACTTTTTTTAATTAGTACTTATCTCTTTAATACCTGTACTCTTGCTCTATGTTGCAAATGCCTAGTGAAATATGCTGAACAGAAACATTTTTCCCATGGATGAATGCACGATTATAGAGTAATGAATTGGCTTTGGGGAATGAGAGAGGAATAAAATTTAGTTTCTCTGTTGAAAGAAACCAGATCTCAAAGAGAAGAAAGAAAATGAAGATATTATTAGTTCACATAATAGAATTTTAAGAAAAATGGCTTATTATATTAATTTCCAAATAAAAACTTTAAAAGGAGATTGGAAAAAACACTTGAAAATTCAAAATATATATTACTCTCATGTCTGGCTACCATCACACATGTCAACTATCAGAAATTTGGTACTTTTTCCCAGGAATTTATCTGCTACAGATAATTTTTTGTGTGCCTTTTATCACATTCACATAATTATTTTTTTAAGTTTTATTTTAGGGCAGCACCTTGGCTCAGTGAGTAGGGCACCAGCCTCATATATTGAGGGTGGTAGGTTCAAACCCGGCTCCGGCCAAACTGTAACCAAAAATAGACGGGTGTTGTGGCAGGCGCCTATGGTCCCAGCTACTCAGGAGGCTGAGGCAAGAGAATCACCTAAGCCCAAGAGCTGGAGGTTGCTGTGAGCTGTGATGCCACTGAATTCTACTGAGGGCAACAAAGTGAGACTCTGTCTCTAAAAAAAAAAAAAAAGAAGAAAAAGGTTTTACTTTATATTTAATTAACAAATCATAATTTTATACATTTTTAGTAAAATGTGATGTTTTGATACATGCATATATTAAAAATTATCAAATCAGGCAAATGAATGTATCCATTACGTCAAAAAGATACCATTTCTTTGTGGTGAGAACATTTAAAACCTTGCTTTACCTACTTTGAAATGTACAATACATTATTAATAACTATGAATCTTCATGCTGTGTAACAGATTACCAAAACATATTCTTTCTGTCAACTGAAACTTTGCATCATTTGATCAACATCTTCCCTTTCTCTGTACACTCCCATCCTCCACCCTAGCCTCCGATAAGCATCATTCTACTCTTTACTTCTGTGAGTTCACATTATATTTAGATTTCACATATAAGTGAGATAATTGGCTTATTTCACTTAACATAATGTCCTCTAGGTCCGTCCATGTTGTCACAACTGACAAAATTTCCTGCTTTAAAAAGATTGAATAGCATTCCATTGCATATCTATGCCACATTTAAAAAATTCATTAATCTGTAAATAGGTACTTTGGTTGTTTCCTTACCTTGGCTATTGTGACTAATGCTGCAGGGAACATGGGAGTTCAGACATCTCTTTGATATACTGATTGCAATTCCTTTGGATATATATCCAGAAGTGAAATTGTTGGATCGTATGGTAATTCTATTTTTAGTTTTAAAGAATCTCCATAATGTTTTCTATAATGGTCGTACTAACTTAAAATAACACCAACAGGGTACAGTGTTCTCTACTCTCCACAACTTGTCAACACTAGCTATCTTTCATCTTTTTTATAATAGCCAGACTAATGAGTGTTAAGTAATAGCTGATTTTGGTGTTAATTTGCATTTCTCTGATGATTAGAGATAGTGAGAATTTTTTTTTATATATCTCTTGGCCATTTGTGGCCCTTTGCCCATTTTTAATAGGGTTATTGGTTTTCTTGTTATTAAGAAATTTGGATTCCTTACCTGATGTATAATATGGAAATATATTCTCCCAATATGTAGACTGTTACCTTTGCTATGCAAAATCTTTTTAGTTACATGCAATCCCATTTGTCTCTTTTTGCTTTCATTATCTGTGCTTTTAGGTTATGTCTAAGAAAGCCCATTCCAACGTCAGCAATATCATGGAGATTTTCTGCTCTATTTTCTTCTAGGAGTTTTACAGTTACAGGTCTTATGTTTAAGTCTTTAATCCATTTTGAATTGAATCTTGTATAAAGGGTGAAATGAAGGGGCCAATGTCATTCTTCTGCATGTGAATATCCAGGTTTCTGACCACCATTTCTTGAAGAGACTTTTTCTCATTGTTTATTCTTAGCACCTTTGCTGAAAATCAATTGACTATAGGTTTGTGGATTTATTTCCACACTCCCTATTCTACTCTACTGGTCAATGTGTTAGTTGTTATGCCACTTCCATGCTGTTTTGATTACTATGGTTTTGTAAATTCTGGTAATTTGAAGATTCCAGCTTTGTTCTGTTTTGCTCAAGACTCATAGTCAAGGTCTTCTGTGGTTCCATACAAATTTTAGGGTTATTTTTTTCTATTTCTGTTAATAATAATATCAGAAGCTTGATAGGGATCACACTGAATCTATAGATCACTTTGGACAGTTTAAACATTTTAACAATATTAATTCTTCCAGCCCATAAACATGGGATCTCTTTCCATTTATTTGTGTTATCTTCAGTTTATTCTGTTAGTGTTTTCTAGTTTTTAGTATGTAGATCCTTTGATAAATTTACTTCAAATGACTTTTTATGCTACTATAAGTGAGATTGTCTTCATTATTTTTTCAGATAGTACACTGTTGATCTTTTAAAAGTCTACTGATTTTTGCTGGGCATGTTGGTTCACACCTATAATCCTAGCACTCTGGGAGGCCAAGGCAGGTGGCTTGTCTTAGCTCAGAGTTCAAGACCAGCCTGAGCCCCATCTCTACTAAAAATAGAAAACTTAGCTGGGCAGTCCCAGCTACTTTGGAGGCTGAGGCAAGAGGATCTCTTGAGCCTACGAGTTTGAGGTGGCTATGAGCTATGATGATGCCAGGGCACTTAACCGCAGGGCCAAGGCTGCAGAGTGAGCCTTTCTAAAAAAAAAAAAAAAAAAAAAGTCATAAACCATAATCAAATGGGATTTATCTCTGGGATGAAAGGATGGATGCAGATCAATAAATGTGATACCTCACATTAATAGAATGAAGAATAAAAAATGATATGATCCTCTCAATAGATGCAGAAAAAGTATTTGACAAAATTCAACACACTTTTCATGATTAAAAAAAAAAAAAAAACCTTTCAGGCCAGGCATAGTGGCTCACACCTGTAAACCTAGTGCTCTGAGAAGCTGAGATAGGTGGATCTTTTGGGATCAGGAGTTGGAAACCAGCCTAAGCAAAAGCAAGACCCATCTTTGCTAAAAATAAAAAAAAAAAAATTAGCCAGGCGTGTGGTGGGTGCCTATAGTGGCTGAGGCAGGAGGATCGCTTGAACCCAGGAGTTTGAGGTTACACTGACCTGGGCTGATGCCACAGCATTCTACCCTGGGCAGTAGAGTGAGATTCTGTATCAAAAAACCAAAAAACAAACAAGAAAACAAAACAAAGAAACCCAAAAAACTTTTCAACTAGCTAAAAATAGGAGAATGTTATTTCAACATAATAAAGAAGCATGTATGAAAAGTCCACAGCTAACAGCATACTCACAGTGAAAACCTGTATGTTTTTTTCTAAGATAGAACAATGCAAGGATGTTAACTCCTTTGTTATTTCTCTTTAACTTAGAGCTGTAGTGATAGCCAGAATAATTAGCAAGAGGGGGAAAGAGAGAGAGAAAACATCTGCAAAGAAATAAAAGTCATCAAAATTGTAAGGGAAGAAGTAAAATTGT